AGTCATTTCCGACTTATAGCGACGCCTCCTTGGGTTTCCGAGGCAGTATCACTAGGGAAGTAAATTGCTCAACCTTCCTTCCGAGGAGTGGCTGGTGGGTTTGAACCTCCAGCCTTCTGGTTAGCAGTCAGATGCCTCAGGTACTACAGTGTTAAAAATACTGAGTCACAGATGTGTAGTTGTAAGTAGCACTCATTTGTGATAGTTTTTAAGTCTCTTTTGCTGTCTCTTGGAGCCCTAGTGTTGTAGTGATTAAGATACTTGGCTGCTGACTAGAAGTTTGGTTCAAATCCACCAGCTGCTCCATGGGAGAAAGATGGGGCAGCCTGCTTCACTAAAGATTTCCAGCCTTGGTGACCTTGTAGGGGTCGCTGTGGGTCGGAATTGACTTGATGGCAGTGGGATCAGGTGGTTTGCCATCCGAGATAGTCTTTGGTGAAACTGGTCCAGACCCCTGAGGCAGAGGAGAAGCACCTGGAGCCTTGAGTAGGGAGGACAACAGGCACAGCAGTCCTGAAACCCCTGTAAAATGGTGACAGTAGTGTCAGTGCCAGAGCCTGTCTATCCAAGGGAGTGATGGGGCTCCGATTGGCCTTGGGCTGGCAGAGGTCACACAGGCAGCCACGTCCAGCCTTTGTACCAGCTCTGACGCTGGCCATCCCTCCGAGGACACTCTGCTTCTCTTCTGGGTTTGATGATCCCTTGCAATGGCCACCCAGAACTCAGTCCATACTTAGAGTTAAGTGGTTTATTACGGAAGCAACAGGGTGGAAATTGGGATCAGGATCAGGAAGCACACAGGGAAGGCCTCCCTTCAACACTGCAGGGCGGCTCCCTCAGCTCCTCTCGGCTGGCCAGTCCTGTCATTTGCCCCCTGAGGACAGGCTCTGCTTGTCCCTACCAACTGGCACCACTGACTCTGCCAACAGAGCCCCTTTGGGGCCTGTTAACTGCTGGCTTTGCTGCCAGGCCCCTTCCGGGTCTGTCTCTGTCTCTAGTGGGAGAGCCCTTGACCCGTGTCACAGTTCTTTTAGGGGGGTCCTGCCTTCCTCTCTCCCTCTACTTTTCTCTTCTGCTACTTACTGCTGCTTTTTTTCTTGCTTCTTTCTGTCTGAACAACCTAGGGGTTTGGCTGCTTAGAGCAGAACTCCTTGTCAATTTCAAGGTCTGGCCTCTCCCAGCACTGGGAGCGGGGCATGAACCCACCACTGCTCCCTTCTGGGCTGCAGCACTTCATTTGCATGGCCTGTTGCCCAGTCCCTGCAAAGTGCGTACCAGTCACAGGGCATGCTGCAGCCCAGGGCCACACAGAAAGTACCAAACCACCAGGTTGTTCATAGCTTGCCCAGGAAAGACCAGTCAGGCTGGACAAAAGTAACCAGTCCTCTGGGGTAGGAAACAGGCAAAGGGAACTGCTCTGGGTTCTCGAGCTGTGTCTCCAAAGATGCTGGGAAAAGGCCACGGAAAGGAATTCATTTCCATGCTCAGCGAGCTCTGAACGTCATGAGGGGGTTGCTGAGCTCATATGAGGTGTGATGTCTTCTCAGATGGCCGTCCACTTTGTGTGGGTGCCTCTGAGAGTTCTGAGGACATGTGGGCGTGCGTGCTGGTGCCACCCAGGCCCCGGGCGCGCTGCATGGGCTGTGTGCTTGGTTTACGGCAAGGCTGTGTTCTAAGACCGGAAGCACAGTGAGCTCCGCGGGATGTTGGCTCTTGGCTTTGGATGAGGTGGTTGGGGGCCTCCTGGGCATTCTCAGCACCTGATATTCCCCACGTTCCCCAAGGACCCCACTTATGCGCACTGGGTCCCGGGGAGCATACACGGCTGCACACCTTCAGCTCGTAACGTGGACTGTTGTCTTCTCCACAGAGCTTCAAACTGGTTCATTCCAGTTCGGCCCTCTGCTGAGAATTTGCCTTTCCCACCCAGATGTACTGAATCAGTCTACATTTTCACAGGATCCCAGGTGCTTCTTACGGATCCCCAGGTTTTGTGTACACGTAAGAATCACTTGGGGTAGTTTGAGTGCAGATTCCAATTCAGTCTATCTGTTCTTGTTCCTGAGGAAAATTATCCTGAGGATAATTGTGTTCCTGCTGTGCTGTGCCCTTGAAGAGAGGAGGGGCCTGTTTTGAGTTTGTGTCCATCTGTCCCTGCCTCCGGGAGCTCTGGTGTTGCACTGGTTAAGGCATTGGGCTGCTAACCAAAAGGCCAGTGGGAAGAAGATGAGGCAATTTGCTTCTGTAAAGATGACAGCCTTGGAGACCCTGT